AGGGCCATCTTTTCTAACTGGTGTGTGTAGGTTCTATGATAAGGTGGCCTCTCAGAGAAAGAAGTAGCCTTCAACCTGCTGAGTTACCCTATCCAGAGAACGGCGAATCCAATCTCCCCTCAGGGTTTTTTTACTTTATTTCAGAGCTGGCTTTGCTTTCTATATTTAAGTTATTCACACATCATAGTTACCTTATTAAACACATTATTTTCAGTTAAATAAACCTTTGTTGTTCCTCTCCATCTGTGTCTTGCCTAAGAAGCAGTGGTCTCTAACTCACAAATCAAAGCAGCAGTGGTCTCTGTTTACTTCACATGTAAGTACAGGCTGTAGTCCAGCAGGTTTCCAAATACCAGACCTCTGGGAGAACATACCTTACATGCTACCAGGGCTTTTTTGGTAGAAAAAGCCCATCAGGAACTCATTAGCATAATAGGCCACACCCAACAGCAGAAACTCATTAGCATATTAGGCCACACCCGGGCGCCCCATTTAAATGCCTCCCCAATCCTTCCAGGCCCCCCCCCGGCTGGCCTGCCTCGGAGTCACGGGGGGGGGTGTTTGCTCTCCAGGCCTTCCCTCTGTAGCCATGCACGCAGAGGTTTTGGCTTTAGTGGGCGTGGCCAACTCTGAAGCCAGCCGGAACACCGTTCCTGAGCGTTCCTGCCCAAAAATAGCCCTGCATGCTACCAATCTTTAATTAAAGCTTGTGTCCCCCTTTTTATTGGATTGTAGGCAGTTGGGGTATAAAGAATCTATAGGAGAGGCCAGAGTGGGGGATTGGATATTTTTCATTCCAGAAAGCGGTTGCTTCAGAGCCTTCCCCCTCTTTTTCACCCCATAGCCGCCACAGTCACCATAAGTTGGAAGCGACTTGATGGCACTCAACACACACACTCCCAAGTATGAAGGAAGCACATTGTACAAAGGATCACATGTATATCAGTAGTTCATAAGATATGTGGGTACTTGGACTGAGCACATGCACATTTCTTATGATTATCGCCCAAATGCTGAGGCATTCAAAATAGAAGCCTGCTTTTAACTGCTATATTAATGAGAACATATCAGAAATGAAACCTTGGTCCAAAATATGGAAATCTATAAAATTCATGAGAGCAATACCGTATAAGGAAAATCTGTATAAAATGTTTTATAGGTGGCACTGGTCACCGGATAAAATAGCGAAATGTTATGTAAATGCATCAAAAATTGTTGGAAATGTAAGCACAATGTAGGAACCTTTTACCACATGTGGTAGAGGTGCAATATAACTAAAAAATATTGGTGTAAAGTACATAAAATGATATTAGAAATATTGGATATAGATATACCATACATACCAGAAGCTATTTTGTTAAATATGCTACCTGATAACATTACCAAAAATGATCAGTATGTAATAACGTATATATTAACATCTCCTCGCATTGTATTTGCAAAATATTGGAAATCAGAAAAAATCCCATCAATGCAAAAAATAACATATAGATTGTTGGAGATAGCTGAAATGGATAAAATAACGATAATACTACAAGGAAAATATCAAAAAATATATAGGGAAAGTCCTCAGAGCCTGTAAGACGGAGCTCTTCCGCCAGGCTTTTGAATAGGAGCCGCCACCACCACCACTAGTGTACCACCACCGCACTAGTTTACCATCTGCGCCCCATAAAAAAAAAGTTGGGGGGGGGGGGGAGAAATGAAACCTGAAACCTACTAATGAGTTAAATGTAAAACATTACATTCTATATAGGTCTGTGTCTGTTGCACCACAAACAAAGAGTCAGAGCACCCTGAAGACTAATAGATGTATGTCTGTATGTATTTATTAGATTTACTAGGCTGCCCTTCCCTACAAGGAGTGCTCACAGCGGCTTACAACAAAATACTACACAATAATGATTTAAGTTAAAACAATAAAACTGAATAAAAACAGATCAACAAATAAAACATATATATTCCAGATGACAGGGAAAAATTCAGTTCCCCACCCCCCTAGGAGGGAAGGGTACAAGGGGTGGGGGGAGCATATGAGAGTGCCAGGTGTCATACTATCCCCATCACTGTCCTCAACCAAACACCTGGTGGAACATCTCTGCCTTGCATGCCCTGCGGAAAGGTACTAACTCTCACAGGGCATAGATATTCTCTCGCAGACAGTTCCACCAGGTGGGGGCCAGAGACAAAAAAGCCCTGGCTGAGGACAGCTGGATCTCCCACAGGCCGGGAACCACCAGGAGGTTCTTATTCCCGCTCTTCCAGGGGCATACTGGCAGTCCCAAAGATATGTAGGTCCCTGACCGCTAAGGGCCTTAAAGGTCAAAACTAAAACCTTGAACTTGATCACGCAGCACAGGTTGAATGTGTGCTGTCTGGGGGTCCCAGTAAGGACCCACACAGCTGCCTGCTGGATCAGATGGAGCTTCCAGGTCAGGCGCAAGGGTAGGCCCGTGTAGAGCGAATTACAGTAGTCTATCCCGGAGTTGTCCATTGCATGGATTACTGTGGTTAGGTCGGGGCAAGACAGGGAGCCAGTTGCCGAACCTGGTGCAGTTGGAGAAACGCCAGCCTGGCAACCTTGGCGACCTGTGCCTCCATAGACAAGGAGGGATCCAAAGTCACGCCCAGGCTCCTGATGGTCTATGTCAGTGACAGAGACACACCTTCAAGAGTCAGGCGTTGGCAACCCAACCGAGGCTCCCCCCACCCAGCCACAGAACCTCCATCTTATCCAGATTCAGTTTCAGCTGACTCTGCTTTAACCACCCCATCATAGCCTCCAAACCTTCAGCTTACTTGAACCCTTACTTGAACAAGGCAAGACGCTGAGTACTAGGTGGGTGAGATAACAGCCTGATCTTATGTGTGTTTGCTTGGAAATAAGTTCCACTGCATGGTAAGGAATAAGTATCACTGATTTTTGTGGGGCTTGCTCAAAATCCTATGACTACTGACTTTGGAATGAAAGTGGCCCATCAGTTGCACTGGAACTTATTGTCGAGAGTCACTGATACACAACTTCGCAGACAGTGATCTACAAGTAGGGGTAGGACATTCAGAAATTAGGTGTATCTGGGATTTTAGGCAGCTCCTCCCCACTTGCAAAGGCTTCTGACAACCAGTAAAGGAGAACTGGTTTATACTGGCCACTCCAGCTGACTTCTCTCCCCAAGCCCTTAAAAAAGTGACACAAAATAAACATGCATCAAACCTAATGTTTAGGAGTTGGGTAATGGTTAAAAGCCACAAATGTCTCACTGAATGTATGCACAGGAACCGTGTATCGTATGTGCATGCCATAAATATACCTATTTCACTACAAGTGTTAACTGCTGATTTAATTAGTTTTGCTTATCTGTTTTTAAACTGCACCTTCCTTGATTGGTTTAAAGGTTTATCTTGCTCTGTCCATCTTCTAGTTAGGAGCAATGCTTCCTCTAAGCTGTGGAGCCTTGTGAGCAACAGTTCTACTTTGTGAGCTACTGGCATTTAAGTTGTGAGCAAGCGATTTGGCTATTGCATAAATTAGTTTGCTCTGGAGCCATCCTTCCTGAGCTAAGACAAAAATGTGTGAGCCTGAGGCTAAAAAACTGTGAGCTAGCTCGCACTAACTCAGCTTAGAGGGAACACTGGTTAGGAGTGGTTAGTCCACTCTGCATAAAATGATATCTTTCTGATTTTTTCATGAGGGGGTCTTCTGATTGGTTATTGTTTTAGACTGGTCTCTCTTCATAAACCTCCACACACCACTCCTCTTTTGCTTTATATAAATAATCGCAAAAGATAATACATTCCATGCATTTGATGAAGTGAGCCCTGACTCAGGGAAATTTATGCTGGAATAAATTTTGTTAGTTTTTTAAGGTGTTACGGGACTTGCTTCATTCTATTTAAATAAAATTGCCTTGTCTGGATGGCCACCACATACAAGTACCAGCTGCATTCTGTAGGTTCAGGCACCTCCCTTGTAAGTTGTAAAACTGCTTCACGAATAAACTTTCATACCAAGCCCAAGGGCGAATTTCGACCTGCTTCCTTCCTCCGTATTTCGAAGAGGATGTTGTTTTCATGCCGTTTGTAGTGCAATTACATCAAGCTTTGATTTGTGTGCATTTACTAAAAAATGGCCAATGTTCCGGGCAAGCCCAGAAATAAAACAGACAAGCGCGGTGGTAGCGGCCAAAAGAAACCTTAAAAGAGTCCGCGACGTGCCAGACAAAGTATTACTCGCCAGCATTACGGTACAATAAGCACTGAGACATTCCAGTCCCGACTACTATTCTAACATCTTGATTGCTTGCAGATGGTCGCTCAAAAGCGTGGACGACAGGATTTCCGCGCATGCTTACAAAGAACCCTAAAACATGTAACAGTCGGCCAGAGACTGTGCGTATGCGCAACAGACACACTACGCCTTGCACAATGTGCTGCGGTATGTATCGTCTTTGCAGCAGGAAATGCAAATGAAGCAAGCCCACCTCTTGCTATTTATTGGTGGAAAAAATAAGGGGTGTGACCGGATATGCAAATAGAACCCGGCTTGTTGAGGCCAGAGGAAGACACGCCAAAGGAACGGGGGGAAAAAAAGCAACCGGCATTTTTCGGAAATGGCGGAGAAGGAAGAGGCGTGGCTGAAACTGAAAAGTTGTAGGGGGAGGCGGGGCCAACAAGGAGCTGGTGGGCGTTGTTAGAATGACAATAAGACGGCACAAGCGCTGCTGATTGGACAAAACTAAGGCTATGGGCGGAGATATGCAAACGAAGCGATGGTGTCTCTTAACCGACGGTCCCTCCTCCACCTCATTACCTAGCTCCGCCCCGCGGTTTAAAAGTCGCAGCGCTTGCGCAGTGAAAGGAAATAGGGACTTAGTCTGTTACACAACTGACTGTGCTGTACTGAAGGAGCAGAATTCTCCCTTCGGCCTCAGACCTTGCTACTCGGGCAGGCTTTTCGTTAGGCCTCCTTGTCTCCCCTCCCCACATCTCCTGTTATAGGCATGAGTGGGGATCAACTGCACAACGACTCTCAGGTAAGAGGACTCCAACCTCTGTGGGCGGGGGGGGGGGGGGGGGGAGTCTATGGACACGAAAGGCCTGCAGTCTCCTTTCAGAAACCTGGGGGGAGGGACACCCTTATTCTCCACAACTCACAACTTCCTCAGAAATCTGCCTCAGTTTCCTGAAAGTCTGGATCCCATCATGTTCGGCACTATAGGGAACAATTTGCCCCTATTTTTTCCCTAAGAGATTGGGGGTGGGTGGGGGTGATTTGAGCTCTGAGAGACCCCCATTGCTTTCCTGTCTTCCCGAAACAAAATGATACTCTCATTACCAAACCCCTAAACCTCCCCCCCCCCGCGGTGGGTTTCCTTTCTACCCTAAGACGCTCACCCCTTGCCCTCTCCCTTGGGCTCCTTTCAGATGGTCCATTACACTTACGGACACCCTTAACATTGCCTCCCCTTAAATGTGGTGGGGATGTCTTCGCAGCCCTTTCAGCAAAGAGGGGGCCCGCTGGGGGGGGGAGAGGAATCTGCCTCCCCCTTTCCCTTTCTGCCGATTCCCTCCCTCTTAGAGGACAAGTAGGGAACATGAAGGGGGGGGGGTTGGGGTGCCGGGGCCTCTGGGAATATATAGACACCCACGAGGAAGAAGGCAATTAGAATAAGGAGGCGAAACTTGCGGGGGATGGGGCGCGGGGGGGGTAGATTTGGGTCCCGATCCTTTGATTTAAAGGTGTCTTGATTGGTTTCTGCCTACGCTTTGGACTGTGGTTTCCGGGGAGGGGGGGGGGGGGGTTTAGGTAGTTATGCTGTTCTCTCTTAATCTTACGATTGATATAACATTGGCTATATCCAGAAGTTAGCAGCTCGTAGCAACATGTATACAGATCCAGATTTCCGAGCGAATGGTGAGTCTCGTTTCCCACCCTCTAAATTAGGTTGGGAGGGTAGGAGGCTTTTCTCCCCCCCCCCCCTTCCCCTTGTATTGCTGGGGATGGTAAAGGACAGACATGGCGTCCCAGAGACTAAGTCCCGTCTCCTCGCTTACCGGCCCCATTGTTCCCATCGAGCTTCCTAATGCTCCGCAATCTTAGGGTCCTCAACCCATCTGACCGAATTTCTCGGTAGAGAGGACAGTGGAGACCCCGGATTCGGCCTTCTCTGTTTTTTGGGGGTCCCTTTTGGGCCCCGATTCCCCCCTGGAAAGTCGCCTTGTCGACGGTCGGGACTTAGTCTCTGCGCCATTTTCTTTTTCTCTCTCTTCCCTGTGTGTCTCTCTTTCTCCTTCTCCTCCTCCCTTGAGCTGCCCACAAGGAGCCTCCTGCAGCGAAAACATGCGAAATAATCACCACCCCTCTTCGAGATGTCCTTTCCGAAAGGGGAAAGACAAAATCTCTAGTTTTTTTTAAAAAGCTTGACTTCGTCGCTTAGCTGCCTTTTATTCCTGCCTCGTACCCTTTTCTCCTCCCCCAGCGCTGTTTCTTTCAATCAATCCCCCCCCCCAGGTGGTTACAACATGTTGCTCTTTAACACATTCTGCATCCCTGTGAAGAATCGTGGGCATATTAAGACCTGTATGCAGAAACTTTAGTTTACTGGGTGGGGTTTTTATCCTTATGTTAAAAAAATAAAATAAAACATTGTGGACAGCTCAGCAAAGTGATGATAGGTGCTGTTCTGGAAGTTTCATAGTTGATTTTTTTTGGGTGGGCAGGGGGGAGTCAGATTGCAACAGCAATATGGGATTAATATCTTGGAAGTGTGTTTTTCAGATCTGTTGAGTGTGTGTGTGGGGGGGTCAGCTCTGCCATGTAAGCCTTTGTCATTTCTTCAAGGGGAGTTTTCCCAGCCCTTTGAAGGGAGGAAATAGGGTCTGGGGGAAGGGGAGAGAGAGACTTAACTGTCAAAATTGCTTCCTCCACTTTTTTTTTTTTTTGGAAAGAGGGATTTCACTGTAGCTCTCAAGACCTGGAGATTTTATGAGACTGCCTGCCTGCCTGCCTGGCTGCCTTGCTTTCACCAACATTGCAGCACTCTGCCATTTGCATGCTGACTTGACAGCGGATTTGATGTAGTTTGGATATCTGTGTCTGTTATAGTAGCATGTTAGTATCCTTTCTCTGTTTAAAGGGTTTTTATAAAGTTTTTGAGGAATTAAAAAAATCTTAAAGCTTCCTCATCCCAACAATGAAGTTCATAGAATGCATATGTTGAAGACAATGTATTAAGGGGAAAGCCATCTACTAACTGATATATACGTACGAAATATTTTTAACTCTAGGGAAAAAGACCCATCCATCTACTTAAAATGTGCACTGGGCAGCTCTTTCCCAGGACCATGGTTGCCCAGGTACTTACTGTTCAGTTGTTAGACATACAACTGGTACTTAAAGCTTGGTTTGGGGGATCTGGAGATATTTACTGTAGTCCTGTTAAAAGGCATTTCAAGCACAAATATAAATATTCTGCTAAGTAAAATAGGAGCCTTTCTTTGAAATGATGCTCTTTGTTGTCCCCTGTTGCTAGCCCCATTTTTCCTTTAGCTGTCCTGAAATGTCATTATAATAGAACCCCAGGCTGTTTAATGTTTGACTTGTTCAAAGAATAAGCAGTACTGGTAGTCATGTCCTTTTTGACCTTGCCACCAAAGCTGAACTTGCTTTCCTGTCTTTGAAGGTTCTTTGTCTTCCACTATACCAAAGTGCCTTTGACTTCTGAGTCAGAGACTATGGCAGGCTGAAGTTAGTGTCTTAAATATCTGCTTCTGTTCCAGGCAAAGCAGTGGGGGAGAAAGAATTAATCCCATATAAATTATCTTGCATACACAAAATCAGTGGGCACTGTATTTTTGCTATGGAGTTGCCTCTCCCCCCTGCCCCCTGTGTCTTCCTTTCTCAAGTCGTCAACCCGTCAGTTTTTTAAAAGGTGAACAGAATATTTAAACATAAAAGTAGCGAGCTGCTGGACTTTATTCAGTCACGTTCATTTAAGAGCACTGATAAAAATTACAGCTTTTGTTCCTTATTAGTTATTGAGTATGTAATGACAAAATCTATAGGCATTTGATGAGGGCAGCACATTTTAGGCAATATAATAGCAGCGCTACTTTGTTCTGTTTTAGATCACAGAAGCTATGGAAAGTATAGCTAGAAATTCTGAAGTCAGTGGGGGCACCCAATGAACATTCCTGATTTATTGCATGGCATTGTGGCCTCTGAATAGGTCTAAACTCGTACATTAATGTGGTTTGGGAAACAAAGTAATGTTGAAGATGCTGTCAAGCATAAGCTTGGCCTGTCACGGACCATTAAGTATCAATACCTTTCCTAACCAGATTGTCTTGGCCAGCTTAACTAGATAGTTGGATAGAATGTAACTGTGCGATATTTCTATTTGGCTACTACTTTTTGTTTTTGAGAGAGAGAGAGAGAGTATTTTATTCTCTTCATGCTCTTATTAATTTTCTATATATATGCTTTTGGTGGCTATCTGCTTAGAAGTTTGATTCAGGTGCGTAGCCATGTTGGTCTGAAGCAGCAGAACAAAATTTGAGTCCAGTGACACCTTTAACAAAGTTTTATTCAAGGTATAAGCACACTTCTTCAGATACATTGAAATGGAAGTTACCAGAAGGGTAAGTAGAGTACACGTGCCCATCAATCATCAATTTTGATATAGTTATTTCCTTCACTATGATTTCCCCCAGAATTAAACCCAAACAAATGGTAACCATATAAACTAAGCTTGTTATTCCTGTTTGGTCCTCGAATCTACTAAACATCTTCATTATGCTGTATGCTAATTTGCTGCTCACCTTCTACCTATATGTCTGGACTGGTAACTTCTGTTTCAGTGCATCTGAAGAAGTATGCATGCACCCTTGAATAAAACTTTGTTGGTCTTAAAGGTGCCACTGGAGTCGAACTTGGTTCTACCCTGTACTATGGTTACTGCTTAACTTGGCTAATTTTTAGAACCACTGAAAATATTCAGAATACATGGGAAGCCCTCATTTCAGAATTCAGGTTGCTTGTTTATATGCTCTCCCATATCAGACGTTTTTCCATCAGTAGAAAGCAGGAATAGCAAAGTTACTCTGTGTTTCTCTCTGTGATCTTAGCTTGCTTTGTAAAAGGGTACATTTGAACATGCAGTTTCCCCTGTTGTCATCATCCTGTAATGGTACAGTCTCGAGGAGGACTGTGACCCTGTATTTTTTCTGAATTCTAGAATCTGGGTGAGGATATGGAGAAATTATTATCCCAAAATATTGGGAATATGTGGGTGCATAACCAGCAATTTCATACTGCTTTAACTGCTTTTATGACAATATATTTAGTTGTTTCCTTTAAAATTTATAGTCACAATATGCAGTTCTTTAAAATGCTGAACTTAAAAAAAATATCCTAGATCTTTCAGTTTATGGCAGGCAATCCCAGAAATTGCTCTGTCTCCTAGATTGCTTAGAGTGTTGAGCTCATATAATGCTGTTCTGGTATTGAAATAATCACGTGGCCTGTATCTGAAAACAAGTGACCCTTGGATTTATGAGGAGGTGCATGCGTAATATTTATTCCAACAGTTCAATGGATATAATTTTCTCCTAATGAATTAGTATGTCAAGCCAAGGAAAACCATGTGTACAACATTGCATCTAATTCAAAGTCTTGAAATCTGTTTCAGCAGGGTGCATTTTCCTCCCCTGACAACAGTGTGTCTGCTAGAATCCATCTTATCCTTCAGTTCCTGCATTGTTTGCAAATCATGGCTGTTTTCTCATTTTTCAAGGAAAGATGATTTTCAGTTATGATGTGAAGCAGCTAAGAGGCAGCACCACTGGCACCTTACAATACCTTTTTGTGTCATGTGCCAGCCTCATTTTGTCTTTCTTTGGTGCTAAGAACATTGTTGAGTTCACTGGAAGGCCTCCATAACATTCACAAGTAACATAAGTCTTTGTGAATTTCTGCTTTGATTCATTGATATTAAAACAACAGGGGAAAATATTGGTAGAAATCAATGGATACGCATTCTGTATATTTAGGCTTTAACATATCATTTAAACTCTTTGGCTTTTTGGAAGCTCTGTTTCTCACTGATTGTTTACAGCTAATCCAAAGCATGTGTACTGAAGTAAGTCCGATTGGGTTCAGTTGAATCTAGTCCCTAGAATGTGTGTTTAGGATTGCACCTAATGACATTCTTAATGTAAATGATATTGGACCCAAAAATGACAAAATAGACTTTTTGTTGCATGAAATGTACATATTAAAATGATTGAGCTGTTCATCTGTTAACAGTAATTAAATAGAAAGGGGAAAACTTAACTACTAAAAGATTGCTTGGATCATTTTAATCAATTAGACTCCATAGCCTATGGTTGTGGTAGGAAATGCTTCTGGCCTTGCCAGGAAATGAATGATTTGAGGAAAATGTCACTCGGCTTTTGCTTTCCTATATCAGCCCATGAGGAAACCTTTTCCTTTCTTGAAAGGCTTTTGAATGGCAGGTATGGTAAACTGAAAACAAACTCCACAGTGGTGAAATGCACTTCTGGTCTCTTCCCTCCAGGGGCAGTCCCCTTCTTTTTTCCTCTGAATTTGTAGCTGCATTAGCATGTGACCTCTGGGAAGCTGCTTAAGTTCTTTACTTCAGTTTTTTGAGTCTCAGTTGTGCTTGAGGTACATCCACAGCTCTAAGTTTGTGAAAGTATTGAAGATTATTCATAGGAATTGCTGTGATCACAGGCTTTTTTCATGGCTGAATTAAGTTATTTAATCATAGTGTTAGCTAGTGAGGTAGTCTTGAGTCCACATGATTTTCCATTTAAAAAGACAAAGGGTACTTTTTAAAAAAGGGGCTGAGGAGTCTACATTGTCACCTTGTTACAGCTTACTTCATATGGATA